ATCTTTAAATGAACGTCTCGAAGCCGATCAATTAAATAAAACTATTATTATGTAATGGTTTGGCGCAATGGCCACTAATAACAATTTTAACGCTAGTACTTCTTTATACTCAAGGATTGGTTTCGATACCAAGTGCGTACTACATAACATATGGCAAGGCCCAGGTTCGTTTCCTTGCCCGAGGACAAAAATTTTTTTCTAAAGCGATTGCCGGCAGTGGCTAACCCCCGTATAATTTTCTGTCATAAAAAAGCTTTTCATAAAAACTATTTGCAGCTCAGAAACGCCGAAAACCTATAGGTCCCTGCATTTTTTATCCAGAGCGCCAAATACTTATGGCTTGTTCACACTTGCCTTGTCCATAATTCGCTAGCGTGTGTTTCTGGTTAAAAGAAACATTTGTTTTAAGAAATTTTCTAAACTCCCAAACTCTTAGATTGGGTTGTGAAGTACATATTGTTAAAACGGAAAATTTTCAAAGCAGGTTATGCGTTATCATCGTTGCAATATTTTTCGCTACATTGCGTACATAAGAATTCCTTAAAATTTATTAAGCCCTCTTCTCATTCCGCAATGTTGCAGGTACTGGAGTGTAGTAAAAACTTGGCTCAGTCAGAACTAGCAACTCAACAATCTACGCCCTACGAAACCGCGCCAGGCTCATTAACAGAACTACATGTTATCGAAGAGCAGTTGCGCGCCGATTTAGAAGCAGCAAAAGAAAATGAAAATACGCAAAAGGTGCGGGCCGACAAGCTACAAGCGATAGTTGAAAAGCTGGAAGAAATGTTGGAGAAATTCAATGAACAAGCACTGTCACATTCACCGCTCAAAGGTGGTACAAATGGAAACAATGGTGGTCCACATGCAGCGCCTCGCCATATACCAAGCAGCGTCGGTGACATGCTGGAAAAACAGAACGAGAAACTAGAAGATCGTCTGGCGGCTGTACGCGAACAAATGATTGTCGAGCGACAAGCGGCACGCACCGCTAATCTTTCGTTATGGAAAGTTGAGAAAAAATTAGAAGAAGCGCTTACTGAAAGGAAAATGACGCAAAGACGAATGGAATTGACTGAGGAGAAAATGAAAAAAGTGCAAGCGGAAAAAGATGACGCACTGCGTCAATACAAAGAGGCACAGGGTGACACAAAACAGCGTGATGAACGTATACGCGAGTTACGCGATGAGATAAATTCATTGAAGCGCGATGTGATGAAAGAGCACCGCATGTGGGAGAAAGCGGAACAAGAACGCATGCAGTGTAAATCGGAGGTAAGCACATTAGGGACTTTAAGTTACAGATTAGATTAGAGATTCTCAAGCCAAATTCATTGATGCAGACCTTGCAATTTTATAAAAAAAAAAAACAGTAAGCGGCCAGTTATTTTCCAATCATACGAATATATCAATTTTTAACGTAGAAAATATACACTATATATGTTCATGCATACATATATTTAATACAGTAAAATATATATAAACATCGCGACTAAATGTCTTCACAGATTATTGAACATATTTCCAATGTGCAAAAGTTAGAGGAACGCCTAACAGAACTACGCCAAAAACATCAGTCGATTCAGCAGAAGAATGATGCACTATCGCTGGAAAACAAACGCTTACAACGCGAACTCAATGAAGAGCGTGACAGGTGCAATGTAGCATGTGATGTATCAACCCAAGTTAAAATCGAGTTGAAAAACTTACAAGACAATTATGAGCGTCTCAAGTATGCCTGCACAATTACCGATAACCAACTCACTGAAGTGGAAAGTATGTTAGAAAGCGAACAAAAGCGTAATACGACATATCAAGAGAAGCTTGATAATTTAAATGTGACACTGCGTTCAAAGGAAGATACCATAGCACAACTTCGCAAGGAATTATCAGAAGAACAGGCAAAAAAGAGGGCTTCTGAGTCGCGTGTAAATGCGCTCAGTGCTAAAATGAAGGAAACTGATGAAAATTTGGCTGAGACACAGAAAAAGTTAATAGCTCAGCAGCAACAATTGATGGAGCAAACTAACAATTTGTTCCAATCGCAAGAGCGCGTTGAAGTCCTCACCAATGAGGCTTCCAGTTTGCAAGCAATCAATGAGAATCTCGAACGGGAATTGACTCTGTTAAAAGAAGAAAATGCGCGCATACTTTCTGAACTTTTCCATGCCAAAGAAGATTATGAACGCTTGCAGCAGGAGCTTAGACACTCGCTTGCAAATGCAAATGAATTACACACAGAAATTGAAGAGCTTCAAGAAATAATGGCAGAGAAGGAGTCTTTCTATGTGCAGCGCGACATCAAATCCGAAGCAACATTAGCGCAGCACAAGAAGTTAATTGATTATTTGCAATTAAAGGTTGAAGATTTATCTCAAAAGAAGAAGCTAACATTAGCAGAAAAAATCTTTGGGAGTGGCGCACATAGTAATACTGGCAGAAAAGAGAATATATCACCAGCCGCAGTTGAAGCATCGATATTATACCGCACATTGCAGGAGGAGCTACGCCGTGAAAAGCAACGTTGCAAAACACTGCAGGAGCAGATTGACAAAATGAATGGTAAAGCTTATATTTTACTATTAAATTTGAATATCATGTTTCTATATATTCTTAGATGTCAGCAAAACCATTACTAGTTCAACCGGCGGTATGAGATCACCTCTTAAAAGCCTTCCAAAAAATGAAGATAATATACAACATGATGGCGGTACAAAACCCGCAAGCACATTGTCAAAATCGCCATGTAAACAAAGTCAGAAGGGTGGTAACGTAATTCCCTCTAATGCACACCATAATTTCAAGAAAGAAAGTCAAACGCATCACCGTTTCGAGTTAGCCCTGCAAGAGACCAACAGTAGCGCAAGTATTTGCATTGCGTGCCAGAAGCCATTAGTAGCCGGCTCACCGTACTGGAAATGCAAAGAGTGCAAAGTTGCAGCACATCGCAAATGTCGTAGCGATGTGCAAACACCGTGCGGAGATGAATCCAGCAATGCTCCGGTACATAACGCAATTGCAACGAAGCACTGCGCTGATCAAAGTGATTTAGATTCGCTTTCGAAATACTCTTACGAGGGTAAATTAGATGACATTGAAAATAAAGCTGACTCTTCTTCCGACGCATCGAATGCCGAATACGCCGGTACTTTGATATTCAGTGTAGAACAGCAACATAATGGTCCAAATTCAGAGCCATTGGAAGTCAATTGTGCCTATGAAATCGAAGATCAGAAGATTGTGCTCTTGGGTTGCAATACAGGTCTCTTCGCACTGCATATTCAAAAGCCACAGCGACTAATGCACATTGCGGGTATCGATTCGGTTAGCAGCATAGCTGTTTCGTTGCCTCTGGCCAAAGCTGTGTTGGTTGGCGCACGAGGCGAGTCGTTGTTTCAATGCGATTTCCGTCAGCTGATGTCACGAAGTCAATCCTCAACGTCGTACGTGAAGAGCACTCTGGAAGCGTCTGTGCTAGATTTGCCATTTTGTAACCGCGCCACTAACGAAAAATGGCAGTTGGTAAAGATATCATCAGAAGCGGAGAATGCATTGGACTCGGTGGCCATAGCTGCAACATCATCACGTATTGTAATTATGCGTTACGATTTAAAGCAGCAAAAATTTACACCTGTGCGTGCACTAGATACCGCTACACCCGTTTCGTCCATTATTTTTACGCGTCACACCGCCATCGTTAGTTCGGATAAATTTTTCGAAATCGATTTGGAAACGTATGCAGCAGAAGAATTTGTTGACATGGCAGATCAATCGCTGTCTCACATACGCAACTGTCAGCCAGTTATAGCCATTCGTGTATCGCGTCAAGAGTTTTTGCTCTGCTTTATGGAGTGTGGTATCTTTGTAGACGAATACGGTTGTCGTTCCCGACCGTATGATTTGAATTGGGAATATACTCCTACTGGTTTCATATACCGCGAACCATTCCTCTATATTGCACATTTCCAATCGGTACAAGTGTTGCGGGTGTACCGCTCCTATACAAATCAGTTGGTTAGCGCTGGTGGCAATAAGGATTTGGATGCAGATGTCGACGACAGTTGCCCAGGCTTAAAGCGCATTTATTTCACGTTCTATATGCCCACACTGCTGGCAGATAGCGGAAAATTAAATGTTTACATGCTTGCCATACAACGAAATACCGGTTTACAACAGATATACCACCTGGATGCATTGCAGGCATTCAAGCGAAAACTAAATGAATCGGTGGAGACGATTTCATCGATGGCAACATCTATCACCGCCGGCTCCTTTGCCACAACTAATCCTGATAGCACCGATTAGATTTGTTCTATTTTAATACTCGTATGTATTAATTGTCATTAAAATATATACACTACATAGACACGAAACATTTTACTGCTAAAATACCACTAGTTTATAAATATTTTAACGTTTTGAGTTTTTATATTTGAAAATACTACATATGTACGTAAATACATAAATAAATAATAATAAATGGATTTTTTAGTGTATATACAAGTACATTCCTACATATATCCAAATAAAGAAATACAATCTTCTAATATAAAAAAATCTCATGTAGTTTGTGGTCGAACTCCTCCTAAACGGCTCGACCGATCTTTATG